GACCTAAGCAGCCTTCGTGCCATCCAGCAGGCTCATAATGAGCAACACAGCACAAGTTCTGGATGTGTTGTAGTGATTGTGCTGTCATGACATCACCCTTCGATGCCACCTCACAATGAAAGGTTGCAGAGCAGTGTCAAGACTTCACGTCCTGATAAGATTTGTGCAGTGCCATTTTGAGCGTCCACCCTCTGTCTCCTCCCAGTCCAGACTCGTAAGCCCCGCGACTACAACATGTGCGGGTGTATAGCACATCAAGTCTTCTAACAGGGCTCAATGTACAATAAGGTGGGACCTGAAAGGGCCCAATAAAACACTCAAGTGTCACACTGAGTAGTGTAAGTTTGAGGAATGTGGCAGAAGAAACATACTTTCTCCCTTTTGTCCTGTAATGCATTTCATAATTCCACAGTGATGTGCATGCTCTGCTGCCAAACCTGTCTGTGCACAGGGATATTCGCTGATGGTGAAAGATTTATTTCCTCTTCTAGGCAAATGGGCATGTGCCTCCAAGCCAAGACGAAATGACAGGGATTGAAAATGCAGCAGAAGCACCAACAGAGGAGGAGACGCAGGTTTGTGTGTGTGCCCTAAACTCAGACAATAGAAATGAGGGGTTTTTATTAGGATTCTCTTGTCCATCACCTAGCCAGTACAGAATTGCCCTATTGAGGATACTCCACAGCACCACCATGGGACACTTTCCTGTTTACGGAGGACAGCAGGATGACCATACATGCAGAGAACTAGGTGTCACTTACATAAGTATCCTCCATAATGCAGGACATTATAGGTATCTTTATAATAGGAGGAGATGCTCTTACCTCCTTCCTCAAAGAACCTTGTGTTCCTTATGTCTCCTCCAGATTTCTGGGGTGAAGGCAGCTTTGCAGCATGGAAGGATGAAAGATCTTGTGCCTCCATGGACGAATTCCTACTATTAAATCTAAGAAAACCCTAAGAAAAGTGGCTTTGAATTCTGTTCCCATTGTGAGGCCAAATGTCATTCATCTCTCTTTGTTCCCTTTCAGTCTGTTGATTCAGAGGATAACCTAGTGCAGGGGCGGAGGGCCTCTCTTTCTGACCTAACGAGTGTTGGAGACATTGATGCGCTGTCTGTGCGACAGCTGAAGGAAATCCTTGCTCGCAACTTTGTCAACTACAAAGGCTGCTGTGAGAAGTGGGAGCTGATGGAGAGGGTGACCCGTCTTTATAAAGAGAAAGACCATCAACATCTGGGTAAGAGATGGAGAAACTATCAATTTGCCAGGCTAACTGTCTGTCTTAACTCTCAGTTTTGGCATCAGCAATAGCAGGCAGCAAGTCAAAGGGAGAGAGGCTTTGGTCTAGTGTCTCTTCAATTGCCGTCCTTTCTGCCTCTGCTCTTTGCAAGAGAGAACTGGAACAGAAGGCAGCATCAAGAACTAAATGATACACTGTTGCCTTGGTTAGGGTGAGTGATATGCTTAGGGTTACAGAAATAATATGGGTGAGGTAACATCTTTTACTGGACCAACTTCTGTTGGTGAGAGAAGCTTTGGACCTGAAGAAGAGTTTTGTGTAAGTGCAAAAACTTGTCCCTCTCCCCAGTAGCAGCTGGTCCAATAAAATGTATATTACCTTGCCCACCTGGTCTCTCTAATATCCTGGGGGAAAACATGGCAACTCCACTTCATATGGGTAGACACGGCAGATGTGTACTTTCATTGTCTAATTTCAATAGTATTGCTTGTATTTAAACATTGTTGTAGATGTTTGTCAATTTAAATATTCACAGTTGCAAGATATGGCTGGAGGAAGTCAGTAAATTATTTACTGACATGATTAGGTTCAAAATGTTAAAGATTCATAACTGCTAAAATACAGATTGTCAACAACACATGCCAAAATATACAAAGTAAATCTCCTTAAATCAAGCTCTGAATTGTAAAGCAATGCTATCTAACTTTGCTTACATGTACATTTTGATTATTGAGGGAAATATTTTTTCATCATTTTGTTTGTATCATGAAATCTCTGATTACCGATAATCTAACCTGCCAGGCCCATGGTTTACTATTGCATGTGCTTAATCACGTTAGAGCTTTATGTTAGTGTGAGTGAAAAGCGACTACTTGGTTGTGTATTGAGAGTGAGAGCGATACCTTCCTTCCTCTCCCCCCCCCTGCATCCCCCTCCTGTTCTGCAATGTGATTTGTCCTTTTCATATTTGTTCATTTTTTTTAATTGTATCCTTTGGTATATATGGTTGTGACTACTTTCTTCCACTATTTGATCTGAGGAAGTGGGTCTGGCCCACGAAAGCTCATCATCTAATAAACCATCTTGTTAGTCTTTAAAGTGCTACATTGTCCTGCATTTTGCTTCAGCTACCCCAGACTAACACGGCTACATTTCTATCACTGATTCTGATGAGTTCTTCCTGCTTGATAGCCCTGCAGAGCCAACATGCCTATGAAAGGTTGAGCTACAACCAGCGTAGGTCAGATACAGCTCACATGCTGAATCTGGCCTGCCAAGCTTTTGAATCTAGCTCACCCTGCCGGGACCCTCAGACAGGGACCAACCCCAGGCCTCTCAAAGGCTGCTCCATGTGTCTCTGTGCCAAACCAATTCCGGCCAGCGGGAACGGAGGGATTTTGCTGGGAGTGGGGCCAGCATGCAAAATCTCTCCGCCTTCCCCCAGTGCGTGGTGCAGAGAAGCACATGGAGCATCCTTTGCTTTGAGCAGTCTGAGGTTGCGGCGGGCAGGGAGTCTGCTTGAGGATCCCGTTGGGCTGCTGGCTGAAGCCTAGGTAGGTAAGCACCTCCTGGCTAGGATCTGCCACTGTCACTCCACCCTGTCCTGCACCCCAGTTCCCTGCTTTGGGTCACCACCCAAACTCTCTCTACACCCCTGCCCCCAAATCACAGCTCCCTCCCAGACCCTGCTCCCTCTCCTATTGTTAATGTAACCATTACAAATCTTAGCTTTGCAGTTCCTTTGTTCCTGGGGGTGACTTGTAACAAGGAAAGACCACAGCTTACCTCTCCCAACTCTGGGTGAGCAGTTGGAAACCATTTACTTGTAAACTGAGACTCTTCCTTGTGGAATCTGAGAGGAGATAAACATGGAAACCCACTATGCTGATTGTTGAGACTCCTTTAAGAACAGAATCCCATTATAACCCTTTTCAGGGTTAGAGCTGTATTTATTCATTTATGAGGCAATATCAAGTTAAACCAAACCTCTCGGAATGTTGCCACCTACTATCTTCACAACTAAAGAGCCAGATGCTTTTTTTTTCATTTTGTTTACTTCCAACACTTTGCACATAGTCACTCAGTTTCCCTCATGTGAGGATCTTTCACACCACAGTACGGTGAGAACAACATTAGCAATGGAGAAATTGTGTAAAACCACAAAAACTGGCGTTCAGGTGATGTCTTTTTCTGTATGTTATAAATAATTTGAGAGCCATTTTGCTTTGTAAGGTTTTAAATGAAGTGCACTGGAAGGAGGCAGTCTATTAGCTAACTCATAATCCTCTTCCCCTCTCTTTTTACACTGCAGTTTCTGACACGGACGATCAAAATGGTAAGTGATTTGTTATTCGTTCAGTAGTCTCCTCACAGAAATTCTCAGAGGTAGTTGTTGCTGTGGTGTTTCCGTAGAGGGTTGTAGGCAAAATTGTGCAGCTCGTTCCCATACAATCCCACATTGGTACTGATGCAGGATCAGGGGCAGGCTTGTTTGCAAGTCTCCAGTTGTGTTTACTACACTGTAAAAAAATGGGGCTTGTCAACCTTAATCTCACGCAATTATATATAATTTGATATTTGACACTGAAGCCACTACTACTATATGTCTGTGTATTAGATAACACGGACGCCCCTCTCCTAACATCATGTCACTTCCTTAAATCCAACTGGTAAAACGCTCTTTATCTTTGCTTTCCTCAGGCAATGCTGGGCTCCCTCGCACGGAAGAGAATCTCTGCAAAATCTGCATGGATTCACCCATCGACTGTGTCCTGTTAGAATGTGGCCACATGGTCACCTGCACCAAGTGTGGAAAGCGGATGAGTGAGTGTCCCATATGCAGGCAGTATGTGATAAGAGCTGTCCATGTCTTTAAGTCCTGAGTGAGCATGAGGAAGCCCTGTGTTACCTTAAAGCCTCATCTGCTGTTAGAGATGATCAGAATCTCTACTGCTGGGCCAGAGACTGGCACGTAGGACCTCACATGAACCCTGGAGCTCGTGGGCAAGACAAAAGAAGGAAACTTGTAGACTTGTTCTGATTCGAGCCATTGACTGGCTGTGCCCTTCACACCACAGTGCTTTACCCTGCAGTGCCTAGGCGCCCGGGCGCCTGCTGTCAGTAGCAGACAGAAATACCCAGGAGCTTGCAGTCTGGGCTAGCTTGGGCAGCTGGTGAGGGGACAAAGAATCGCTTGACTTTCCCAAACTAACACCAGATTCTGAGGCTTGTTATTTCCTCCGCAATAATAAATGAGGTGGACTGAGGCTTTGGTACAGGACATTTTCCTTGGTTTTGCTGCTACTGAATTCTCCCAGCCCGATTCCCTCTTCAATTTGATCTGTGCCACGCTACACCTCCAGGGAACAGAATCTTACTGGGCTGCTTCCCTCTCTCTGCTTTTTGCATTTTTTGTTTTTGAGCATGTAACTTTTATTTTAATCTCTGGTTCCTCAGGCTTGCAGGCCAGGCTGAACTCTCCTCCTCTCATTGCCGCTAGCTGTTTCGTAGTTAGAGCTGAGTTAATCCTAGCCCAGCAGATCATGGTGCAATGTTCACGCCTGCTGCAAATTAATATGGAAAGGAGGCAGGACCCCCCACTTTGACAGACGCTCTGGCTCCATTTCAAAGGCAGAGACAGTGAAGTGGCCTAAGGCTTGAAGCTTACCCGGCCGGAGGCAGCATTTGTCTCCCCTCCCACCCACAATTTGCCTTCCCTGGGTTATTCTTTGTTATAAGCCCATCGGCCGGTGTATTGCCTGCAGGGGATGCAAGTGTAACCGATCTGGCTCTAGTCAACCTCCTCCCATGACTAACAAGCTGAGACCCTAAGGCACTACTCCCCTGCAATATCTGCACTGCTTGAACACTATGGAAAAACCCACTCTGGCCCTCCTACAGTGATTTGGGTATAAGGCTGCCTACGCTCCCAAGAAGGCTTGTTGAGACAGTCTGTCATGTCAACCCCTCAAAGATTTATTGTGCTCTCCTAAAGCCTGGGGCTGAAACTGTCAAATCAAAAGAGACTCTGAAGTGTGGAGGAAAGTGCAGGAGGGCTCTTTCCACTGTGAACCACTGCAGCTCAGTTGTATCTTTTCAGTCTTAGGCCTTGCTCTTACGATTTGAGGAAGACAGGGGTGATCAGTTCCCAGTCTTCCTTTTCTTGTCGGTTTACCAAGTCACTGTCCCACATCCCTGAAGAGTTGCCAAATATGCAAAGACTATTTGCTGAAGAGCACAAACGAATGTATCCATTTTCCTTTTATGGGGACGAGGCTGTACGTTCACCCTCGCAAAGAATTCTCCACGGTAAATGTGGAACATCAATCACAAGCTGTTGATGACATCTGCGATTTAGAAAGTCCCACTGGAAACCGGAGTATGATTTGTTTTATTTTCCCTTATGGAGTATTAAGGAGGGGGAAAAAACCTTCTATCCTGGAAGAACTCCATTTTGAACTGCCAGTAAAATACTGTTTCAAAATAATCCTTTTATACCTTAAATAAGATTTTTTCCCCCAGCTAAATTATAGTTACACTAATGTCTTATCTTATCCTATCCCAAAAGACTACTGAAGCCATTTATGGCTTACCATTTGCTTCCGACTGTTTCTCACACATCGCTGTAGGACTTACATGATGATCTGTATCTTCAGTTCTTACAATATTACAGGGAGTGCTGGGGTATTCAGAACAAACCTTTGTGCACATGCATGGCATTGGGCTAGGAGCAGAATCTATATACAAAAAGTTGTCTAATAGGAGTTGACATTTCTTGGCTCTGCAGAACTAGATGCGTACAAGTAGCTTCTACTGTTGTATCTATGCACACTCTTGGTAACAGCTGTCTTTGCAAATATTTAACAGTGCTATCCAACAGTAGTAATGCCTCTTCTCCAAGAAAAGAGAGAGAGAGAGAGAGTGTGTGTGTGTGTGTGTGTGTGTGTGTGTGGGGGGGGGGGGGGGGGGAAGCTGGAAGTATCATTTGTGTATGGAGATTTAAAGGAAGCTTTACCTTTGTGCTGAGAGCAGCAGCACCTGCACATAAGAGGAGAGCCCTTTCCTTTTTGGATGGGGATTCCTGTAAAGATATGACAGGGATCTAGCCTAATCTCATGTCCCTCTTCGTTTCATAGTCAGAGAGCTGCTGCTTCTGGACTGACTGACATCTGCTTTATAATCTCTGGCTCAAGGCCTAGCCAGACTCTCTTAAACAGAGGTGCACTGACATGCCCTAGGTGCCAGCAGCGAAATTCTCTGAAGTTAAATTATACTTCCCCCCTCCCCATGTAAGTAATTTTGAGGTTACCACTGAGATGTTTGATTATGAACAGGAAGAGTTTGTTTGCAACAATCTCTAGGTCTGGGCCAAAAACTTATGAACCCCAATCTAGCAAGTTCACTAGAGAAAAAGATGCACGTAATCATGTTCATTAATAATCCTGCTCAGGGGGCTTGACGGAGGAAGAATTTCCCTATTCAGTAAACCAGTTTACCTAACTACTGCTCGCTGTTGTTCTGCCTCTATTCTGCAGCATCAAAGACCCTTGTGCAGCTCAGTCTCTGTAGGGATGATTTTAAGAAGTACACACCCACCTCAGCCTTGCAGTTTGCCTTCCTAGTTTGGTAGTGACTAGCTTTCCCATTGCTGTGGGTGTGACTGATAGCATTTATTGTAAAGTGAAACTTTACATAAGCCAGAGGAAACTGATTCATAATCCAAAGGAATATACTGGTGTGAACTAATAAGTGTCTGAAAATATACAAGTGCTTTATGTACATTATAAAACAGGTTCAAATATTTTGAAAGTTAATGTTTACTTGAAATGGCTTCTATTAAATTCTTTAAATCCTAGTTGATAGTTAAACGACTAGTTTTGGTACAGAGTTCTGCTTTATAATTTTATAATAAAGTTAAAATTTGATTTATCCAGCTAAAGCTTTCCAGGTCTCTCTTGTTTTGGGAGCAGGGTAAGGATGGACAGAGATGCTTCATTGACTGATACTTTTAAAGCTTAAAAGATAAGCCTTGAACAAAACTAGAATTCAGAATTAGAGATTCTAAAATACTGCTCTGAGTGACATGACATAACATTATATTCAGGCTAACTCATCCCCACGTGCCCGCCCTGGAGCTGTTCTTTCTCCAAAGTCTGAGGAAGAAAAGATGGTGAAAGCTCAACTCAGGAGTAGAATTCTTTAACTTACTTTAGCAAACCAATTGCTTTTGGGATTTACTTCTGCAAGGTTCTGAGCACCCTTAACTCCCACTGAAGTGAGTGGGAGGCACTCAGCACCTCTTGCCATTGCCGTATTACATGTTTGAGGCAGAGTGGTGTAAATGCTGACAAGACAACACCGCAGGTACAAAGCAATTTGTAACTAATGTGCCCAGTCAGACTACGTCTTAAAGCTTAAAGTCATCAATAAAGCTCAATAAAAACATGCTTCAGTGGCCTCATGGTTCAATGGGAAGTCATTTTTGAGTAGCTTATTAAATGGATTTCAAGAAGCCTTTTGAAATAGGAATTCTGAGTAACACAAGAGTCTTCCTGAGCCAGGTTAACACCTTTTGGAAGAAGTTTGCTGAGTTGCTTTATGTACTGCAGAGGTGAGTGGCAGGGGAGCTGCATGTGCTCATCACACCTGGCAATCAGCTCCATCAGCCCCTATCTCAGGAGGCCTTTGGAGAAGCTGTTTGGCATGTCAAGTCCTCGTGCACTGGAACTGAATTTCAGACAAAACTCTGACCACAGCCTCACTTGAGGGAGAGGGAGCAAATCCAAATGTGCTGCTAAATGTGGCTGACACATTCGGGGAGAACTTTGCTTCATGCTAGAATGGAAAAAGTCCCTCTGCTAGAGGTACTGCCTTGAGAAGCAAGTTATAAAAGGAACTGGGGTGGGGGAGGGTGGGAGGAGGTGTCAGCCCACCACTAGAGACCTGAGTGGATACAAATTTCTATCCACAAACAGAAATCAATATCCACTGAACTGCAGGGCTCTCCTCTTGGGAGCTGCAGCAGCCAAAGAAGAAAAAGGTTACCCCGCTAGGCCAGCCAGCTCTGCTGAGGGTGGTACAGCATTAAGGCCAGGAGCTGCTGCTACAGAGCTCTGGCTCCCAGGAACAGTGGCACCATGGTCTTTTCCTTTGGCTGCTGCAATTCCTGGGAGCAGGGTGATATCCACATCTATGGATAGAAATTTGTATCCGCTCAGAGCTCAACCTACCACATCTACATACTTCCACCCTGTTTTCATAAGAGCAGCCAGACTGGGTCAGAGCAAAGGTCCATCCAGCCCCGTGTCCTGTCTTTCAGCAGTGGCCAATGCCAAGTGCCCCAGAGAGAATGAACAAAGCAGGGAAACATCAAGTGATCCTTCCCTTGTTGCCCATTCCCCAGCTTGTGTCAAGAGGGTAGGGACACCATCCCTGCCTATCCTAACTAACAGCTATTGATAGACCCATTTTCCAGGAATGAATTTAGTTCTTTTTTCAACCCCTCTTAAAGTCCTCGTCTTCACAATATCCTTTGGCAAGGAGTTCCACAGGTATACTATGCATTGTGCATTTGTTTTAAACATGCTGCCTATTTAGTTCGTCTGGTGACCCTTTGTTCTTATGGAAGGGAGTAAAGTTTTCCTTATTTTCTCCCACCAGTCATGATTTTATATACCTATCATATCCCCTCTTAATGTCCTATTTTCCAAGCTGATGTATCCCAGTATTAACCTCTAATCATAAGACAGCTCTTCCATACCCCTAATAATTTATTGCTCTTTGCTGTACCTTTTCCAATTGCAATATATTTTTTAAGCTTAGGTGACCACATATGCACACAGTATTCAAGATGCAAGAGTACTATGGATTTACATAGAGGCAATAAGATATTTCCTGTCTTTTGAATTTCATCTGCCATTTTGTTACTTACCCAGTTTTGTGAGATCCTTTGAAGCTCTTCACTAATTAGCCCTTTCTCCAGATCATTTATGAATCCATTGAATAGATGCAGACCAGTAGTTATGTTTCTCCATTCTCAAAACTGACCATTTGTTCCTACTCTTTCCTATCTTTTAACCAGTTGTCAGTCCATGAGAGGACCTTCCCTCTTATCACACCACTGCTTACTTTGCTTAAGAGCCTTTGGTGATGGGCCTTGTCAAAGGCCTTCTGGAAATCTAAGTACACTATATCCACTGGATCCCCCTTGGCCACATGCTTATTAACTCCCCTCAAATAATTCTAGTAGATTAGTGAGGCATGACTT